GAATCTACGGGGGGGGGGGGGAGGGGCTTTCGGGCTGAAGCCTCCCTCCCCAAAAAAATGGAAAAATATAACCACGTTTTAAAAATACCTCTGAAAGTATTATTGTTCGTATAATTACATTTACATTTATTATTATTTATTTATTATTATAATTACATTTAAAAGTACTTAAGGAATAACTTAAACACAATTTCATATAGGTAGTTAGTTTCTTTCTGTTTTTCCAAAGTAATTATCGTTATTTTTATGAAAAAAAAGGTTTAGGGTGGAGGCACCCCCCAAAATTAAATCCTGGATCCGCTAGTGCCGTGTTTAACGAGCTTCGCTCGGAAGCCTCCGTGTCCCGTGAGGGGTTGGGACACCCAATAATCCGGAAGGACCCATCTTGCATCTAATCGTGACTTGACTGTGGGGAAGTACTTCCTTAGAGTAATCCCCTTCGGAGTTGCCATCCATGAACAGTGTCATCCTTGATAATTCTTTTCCATCTTCATGGGTCTTCATCAATTTCCATCTTTAGATGTTCCGGTAGATCCACCGAACCTTCTCTTTTCATCTTAAAGAAGTAATAGTCTTCTCGTAGGAGGATATCGAGAGGTATTTGCCTGCCAATACTTGCACTGCCTCATAAGACACCGTTCTATAGGCTCTAGTGACCCAAAGTAAAGCCAATCTCTGATTCGATGCTAGCCTCTTCTGTCGGTGCAAGAGGTTTAGGTTCTAGATTGGGGACGCTTATCTCAGTAATGACCTCCACTGTGTTTGAAGGTCTTCCTCGTTGATTATTTTATTTCTCTCCTCTTCTTAAAAACAGTGCCAGCTAAAGTGAATCATAGATCATATAAATTTACACTTTCAGATGTCTGTACTATGTTTTCCTCTTGTCCCCTGGTTTGAAACTTTTCAATCTGAAAATTCAAAACCCCGTCAAAACGTGTTCCCCTCAAAAATTTTGATGGCGCAACTCGCACCATGGAACCCCCTTGTGAAGTCACCATAAGAAGACAAGATTGCCTCATGTTCGTTCATTTCTACAACAGATTGTCATTGGTGTTGCCACGTAAACGAGTTATTCAATTTTTGTTTTATATATATTATATTTTTAATATTAGTAATATATATATTTATTTCATTTTGTAGCATTAGATGTAGAATAATTAATTTTGTATAGTTACATAGAATTTTCGAAGACATGGAAACTATAAAACTAAATACGACAACGTTAATGAAAGCCGGTAAAGAACTAGGGCTCAAAATAAACACGGATAAGACAAAAGATTAGCTGAAAAAAATGTCGATATTGCTGGTGATAAACTGTAACTGGGTATCTGCAGTATCTGATTCTAGAAGGCGCCATCGACACGACTGAGTCCATTTAGGGCCACTGTAACTCTAGTTCTCATATGGTCCAAGTGAGGAGTTACGTTGAACTTTTGACCAATTCTTATGCCGAAGTAGGTGACAACCTCACTTGGACAAACCCTTTCTTCTTCTATACTCAACATAATATGTTTAGCTTTGTCAGCTTCCACAAGGCGGGAACAAGAACAGAGCTCTGCGGGTGTCTTCTCGCCTCGACAGTGTCTTCTACTTCAAAGAATCTTGCTCTAATTTTCAATGACAGGTCCTGGAGGTAGCTTCTCACTAGATCATAAAGGTTACTGGGAGTTTCATACTTCTGGAGTTGCTTGAGAACACTCGGCAACCACATGCTGTCAAATGCAGAGGATATATAAAACAGGAGAAGCATAACATACCTCTCCGCTCTTTCTTCTACGTCATGACGCACTCTTAATATGGCATCTGCGGTTCCTTGGTCTTCAGTGGATCCATATTGCCGTGGATGGCTCGATCTTGATAAGACTGGTCGAATTCTCAAGGCCCCTTGGTGTTTGTAATCGTATAGTTTTAATCGCACAATAATATGAGTTATCAAAGTACCCTGCAAGAAGCTTATACTTTCAAATCCGTGTAATTATTATAAAAACTTCCCACTTCAACGCCGATAGCTGATAAAAGAAAAAATTTCATGACTTTAATTTTCGATAGAAAATAACGTATTTGGACTAAATCAATAAAAAATAAACTAAATTAAAAATAATTTATATGTCAGTTGGACAGATTTGAAAATTTGGATTTTCTTCTTTTCATCGCTTAAAAGTACTTTGTAAAGAAAAACAAATATGATTCTTTTCATTCCTCTTGAATCCGACATGAGTTTATATTCAGTATATTAATCCTGCTCAGCTTAGCACAGGAGAAGGGGATAAGAACAATCACGTGAAAATTAGTTAATTTTTTTTGTTTCATCATTACAATGGTTTGCTTATAAAATTAATTTTAAAATGTTTTCCAACTTAATTTAATTATTTTTATTTTTATGTTTATTTTTTTATTATTGTTTGTATTGTAAAACTATTGCTGTCCTGTTTTCTTGAATATTGTATATCTTCACAGCTATATATATATATTCTTAACTTATTATATTTTAATTATTCTTTATAGCAATAGGTCTTTTGGCCAGATCTTATGTTAATTTTAATGAACAATATTGTAAGTCTTAAGAGACTTGGTATCAGAATAAAATTGATTTTTCTATTCTATTATATATATATATTAATATCATATTGATATATATCTATAAATATTACAAACCTGATATGAGCATCCTCATACTTAACATAGTAAAAATATTCAACAAAAACTCTTTAACATCTATTGGAAATATAAATTTCAACCGGATCATAAAAAATATTACTTAAAAATAAAAGCTCAGGTCATCATTTGTGGATTTACAACTTCTACAAGTACTGAAGTATGCCTTTAAAATAATAAAAATAGAATTAATCTTATTAACAAAATGTAAAAATATGACTAGTTCCATCAAGGGATGATAAAAGACATATTATCTGATACAGTTTCGATAATAATTATTAATTATTGATGTAGAATATACAGTGAAACTTTTCAGTAGTAGACACCTAACCAAAAAATTTTTCCTCTTGAAGAAACACAGAAAGTAAAACATGATAAAAATAAAAATCAGCAGATTAAAATTGTGTTTTGTAAGTCATATAGATGAAATTTTTTTTATTTGAAAAACATTTTTATTTTTTAATATACAATTTAAATAAATTTCTATGAGCAATAACATATTTTTTATATTAAATGTACAAGTATAAAACAAAATTCTATAGAAAAAATGAAAAATTCAAATTACTAGGAATAGTAATCCATAATTTTTGTTTAAACTTTTTTTTGTTTCACTATTTTGTTCTCCAGATTGGCTTGGATAGATAAAATAAGTGCCACTCCTAAAATGTATGGCATCTAAAACACTTATCTGTTTTGCAAGGTCATAGTCAGTTGTTGCAGATTCCATATTTGCTAAAAAATGTTTAAGCACACACATCCTGTAGTTAATTTTGAAAATTTTAATAATGCCTTGATCAAACGGCTGGCAGGGTGATATAGCGTTTGCTGGCAAAAAGACGATCTTAATGTTGCAATAACTATTGTGAGGATGGGACACTGCATTATCCATAAATAGGATTCGTTTCTGCCTTATCATTTTATTATTAAATGAAATCAACCATTCATTCATAATTTCAGGAGTCATCCAAGCTTTCTAATTTGACTCCCACTCAATGTTCAAAAGACTTAAATATATACCCTTAAAACAATTAAGGATGTAGGGCCTTTTCGATTATAAGTGGTTTTTCAAACCCCCCTAACATATTAGTATATAGAAAAACAGTTAACCCCTAAGACGAAATTTTTCCATCTTTGTAACTCCCATTATTTAAGCTCATTTTTTTTTCAGGAGGTGCTCGAAAAAACAGTCCTGTTTCATCACAGTTAAAAATGTCTTTCATATCATAACCATGACACAAATCTTTCAATTTTTCCCACCAATTGTTCACAACTACTTTATCAACGGAGCTACTCTCCCTGCAAATTGCTTTAGATGGAATATTGTGGCGTATTTTGAATTTGTTGAGCCATCCAGCTGAGGCTTTAAAATCATTGTGACTTAAATTCCGAGCGACTTCTAATGCTTTTTCTTTGATCAGATGACCAGATAGAGGAATGTTTAAGGCACGAGCTATGCGAAACCATTATTGTTACTTGATCTATGGCGAAACCTAAAGTTTTGGGAAATTGTTTTTTTGCTTCAACATTTTCACATTGGGCCCATTTCTCACACAATTTTTTCTTCTTTAAATGTCGAATACTTGTATCTTTCCGATTTTGAATCGTGTGGCTAAAATCCGAACACTGAGTTTTTCACTTGTCCCTAGATTTAATGTTAACCAGACACGAATAGACATGTTGACACTCAAATCTGTAAGAGAACAATGTACCTGAAATATGAACCTCACTGGCTTTCTTTCGTCAGTTATGAAGGAGTTTTTCAATCAAAATCTTTGTATTAAGCAAGTTCACATCTATTATATAGAAAGTTCTTCATGCATTAATTATTTATACTATAAAATTCCTTAAATCAGATTGAGATTATAAACGTTTTCCCTTTAGAGAAAAGTCCACCGTGCTACAGGAAGTTTTGCTGTACACATATATAAGATGGGATTATAAAAAAGTAATAAGGCAAGAGCTAAAATTTAGGATTTCTTATTTAGCTGGTAATGAGAATTCATACAAGTATAATCAAATTTAAGAAAGTGATAATAGCTTTATTCGAACAAACGCAAATTCAGATGGCATCAAGTTAAGATTTCTGAACATTCACTACAACAAAATAACAAAAATATTCATGAGTTCAGCAAAATCAATACTACTTCACTTACTACATCTTACTGTCACACTTACTCGGAAAGCAATAACAGATTTATATTTAAGACATAACAGATATTAAAATATATTTAAGCTATCATGGAACAGGCATTCCTAACATTTAGTAATCACAAATTCCAAAGTGATTTTCAAGTCAACCAACATTTAAATATAAATTACTACTACCAACTTTATCTAGGCTAAGATTATTGTTGAAAAACTAATCCCCTCTGGTTCTTTATTTCGTTTTGCAGTTCTATAGCAAGCTTCTTGTACTTTTCACTTTGACTACTATTTTTCTCCACACCTTCACCCTTCTTGTACATGACACTAACATTAACACACGCAGGAATACTTCCTAGATCACAAGCTCTAACGGCATAATGAAAAGCCTTAGCCATGTCTTTACAAATTTTTTCAGTCCCACAAGTGGCACCATCTAAGTATACGCTACTTAAATGGAAACAGGCATCTTTATTTTTTCCTTCACAACCTTTCGTCAAAAGATCAACACTCTGTAAAGAATATTAAACAAGAATATTAATTTCTCGATAAAATTTCAATTTATCATTTAATAAATTAGAACAAAATGGAAAGGGAAAAAACAAAAGCAGAAGAAATTGTTAAATATATATGACAAATAAGGGGACAATGTAGCTAAGTTGCTGCAGAAATTTAATTGAGTATTTGCATAGAAAATGCGTAAATTTGAGCTGCTGTAGAATTCAAGTGTAGTATAGTTCAATACAGAAAAAAAACAAAAACAATTAAAACCTGCCATTGGGAGCCATTACAAACTGGCAATAGTTGTTTACGTATTACACTACACCTTTTTTCAGAAAGAATCATCAGCTATAGATCATCAGAATTTGATGATAGATTTAGTAATCAATGAGGTTGCGGTGGCCGAATGTGTTGGAGCGTTGCCCAGTCTAACATCATCCTGCCTAGCGACACCAGTTCGAATCGGTCTGGGAGAGTGATTGACTTTTATTTCATGGTAGACCCATAGAATGGAACTCGATCCTCCCACTCTAGTTAGAATAGGTTTGGTTGTACCTCCAGAATAAACCCCTCTCTCCCCCCCCCCATATGCCAGAAATGGGTGGTAGGGAGTTATCCAATAAATTAAAAAAAAAAAGAAGTTATTAAAAAAAGAATAGCAGTAAACTTTTTTCAACTCATCTTAGATGCATAGTTTGCATGAAACAAAAAATTTGATTTTCAATTCAATAATGAAACATTTAGGGCAACAAATAATAAGTAAATAATTTAGCGAAGGAAGCCTTAACTGCTTTAAAACCTGATATTTTTCTGTTTATACTTATATTTTCATATACATTTTTATGATCCACTGTACCACCAATCTAAAATGTATAAATTTCTACAGATACAACATGTAATAACACTTAGATCAATTCTTTATGATCAATACTGGATTTATTTTTCTATTATTTTAAGAAACTAATGTCGCTTAAAAGAACAATGAATAAAATATAATAATAATATAACAACTAGAATTAAACACTAATATTGATGACTCCCAATGATTTTTATATGCAGTGGAACTGCTATTGTCACAGGTTCAATTACCATAAATGTTACATTAATTTTTTATATCTTCAATTTTTTTAAAGACTTACTGTAAATTCTTATAAAACAGATGTAAATAATTTACATAGATTTATCAATGTTATTATAACAGTACGGTAGTGATTATGACATCAACTTAAATCTGCTAAGATAATTCACAATAATTATACAAATATGGTAAAAAAAAGGGTTAAATTCTGTATTTTATATTAAACTGGTAAATTTATAAAATATTAAAACTTCTTTTTTGGGTCTTCCCTGTCCTCACCTTTAAGGCCATATGTGGTTTTCCCAGCCCAGGGGTTGAGGGCTGGGATTTAAAAGACTCTCCCAGCACCAGGACGCAAACTCGTGACTCTTTTTATCCGCGTTATCTATGTATCAAGTTGCCGGGCAACAGTGCCTTAATAGTTTAAGATTACACAAGTTAAAATATTTATGTTTTGAGAACTCAAAGATATTGCAATATTCTTTTAAAATATAAATCCGAAGTATACGTTCCGATAATTAAAACTATTTAAAATCTTAAACAAAATAAGAAATTTATAGATGATGCTACCTATTTTTGTTGTTTATATATGATTTATTTTTACACTAACAAGTTTACAATTGCTTTGGGTTTGTACCCTTGTAAAATATAATTTTATATATACACAATATCTTACAAATAAAATATATTACATTTATTGGTAAAAAATAAAACCTATAGGAAAAAACAAAACAATACCATTTACAATAAAATAAAACATAGACTATTTTAGAGCAGAATATGTTTATATTCTACATATGTTAGAATAATTTTCATTCTCTTATGTTTTTGTATAATTCCCTATTTCAGCTATTATTGATAGATTTAACGAGTGTTCTTGAGATTAAAAGACGGCTAGGATTTTTATGTAAATACAATCTTGTATGTAGGACAGATCTAATCCTCAGTGCATCCTAATTATTTTGTATAATATGGATAATTATTGTTAATTCTTAGGTATGTGTTTTGAAAAATATAATAGTTTTTTCATGTTAGTTCTATTAGTGAAGCTCCATATGGGGTAGGAGTATATTCAGATAGGCCTTATTACAGATTTTTACAGAATTCATTTGTTTTTGGGTGAAAGTTTTGATTAATGCTACCTAGAATAGTTAAAGAAGTTCAACGCACACAAGACTATAAAAAGATTTATTATGAATAACAACCATAGATATGGTAACTAACTATACACCTAATCTAGCATAATAATTGGTAAATGAAATACAATAGGCTGAGAGACTGATTGCTCCTTAAGACTCAAACAGGAGTAGCAAAGAAGTGACTTATAGTTTTCAGAAGAAGTTCTCAGTGGTACCTATAGCTTCTCTGTTTCTTTACTTTCAAACTCTGGTTAAAACAAACATTTAAATTTGACATTTCAAATATTCTTTCATACAATTTACTTTAAATTATTCTATGATCATCAACAAGGTGGGTGTGACAATATTTATTTATTTGTGAGTACATGAGAATCTTGGATCTTTATTTCATTTTCTATAATAAACAAGGATACCTATGATTACAAATGTTACAATGATGCATAATATAAAATAACAATGAGAAGTGTTGGAGTTGTCTACAAATGATAACATTTCTAATGCTGGCATAGTGTAATTATCTATTTCTGATATAGCAGTATTTAATATTACAGTAAACCATAAAATGGTTTTGAAATAGGGTTAAAGTTATGAGTATAAATTTGATCAAATTGTGGAAAACAATCCTCTATGCTAGTACTAATTAAGCCTACATTTGGTAGAAATACAGTATTATTATTATAATCAGTTATTTTTCTAATATTCACAGTAATATATAGTTTTATATATATCTTATATTATTTTTATTACTTAATACTAGTTTAAATTCTTTTAAATTTCCATTATGTACAATAGATGAAATACATTTTTGTAAATTTCTATTATTTACAATAGATAAAGTACATTTTGATTGTTTTATTGAAATTTATAGTATACAATAGTTATCAATAAAAATAGAAATTCATTGATAGAGAGAGGCACCTTTTTGTAAGTAAAGATCATTTTTTTAATCAATTTCATAAATAGTTTGGTTGATAACTTTTGCAACTGAAAAAAATAAAGTATCCTTTATAAGAGTCATCATGAATTGTCAGTTTTATAAAGTTACAAATTATATTATGATGCGCTAAACAAATTTTTCATGGAGAATATTCCAGTTAAACATTTATGATTGATTTGAAGAAAAACTTAGTCCCATGCAGATATGGTTTAAAGTGTATTGCCCATATAACTTATTTATTTATTTGAATCCTACCCTGTCGGTACTGCAATACAGGTGTTATGCAGCAGTGGGTAGCAACACATGTGATATAATTCACTGCTGCATTCAGACCAATAACTTTTTTTTTTTCTCCAACTATGCACACAGCTTCTTTTTTTTTTTATCCCCCTACATAGCCATTTCTGGCATACAGGGTCCGGTGACAGTAGGGTAGTGCGCATGGTTTTTGCGCATGCCACTGGCCCGAGTACCGAGCCTGCGGGCACCCTCTCTCAATCCCCCTCTCCACCTCGAAGGAGCTACCCCGGATCTTCACTCGCCTATCTTTGAGGTAACTACCCAGGAGGGAATATAGATTGCTGGGGGCATCGTACTCCTGCAGCCTCTGCATGACAACGGGCCACCAGACGCTATTGAAGGCGGAAGATATGTCGAAGAGTATCAACAACACATACTTCTCCTCCGCGTCATGGACGTCCCGCTTCATTTGCATTAGCGCATCCGCCATGTCCTTCCCTTTCGTCGAACCAAACTGTAGTGGATGACCTGCCATGCGCAGCACCGGTTTCATCTTGTTCATTGTCATGTGCTCCAGGACTTTGCTGATCACTGGGAGGAGGCATATGGGCCAGTAGACCTTAGGCTGTTCTTTATCTTTACCTCCCCCCTTATACAGCAATGTGAGGTCCGCTTCCTTCCATTGATACACGGAAAGTGCCCTCTGTCCAGGCACAGGTTCCATATGGCCAGGAGCTCGTCCTCTATTTGAGGCGCACTGTTCCTCAAGACCGCTGCATCAATCTCGTCGAGTCCCGGAGCCCTTCCTATCTTTCCAATCGGAGCACCTCTCTTCCCTCCTCGTTCCAGCCTTGGCACCTTCGTCTAGCCCAGTGGTATTCGAGCTTCAGCGTCGTTAAGGTCGGTGTCCACCATGGCACTGGTCTTTCCCTCACCTTCCTCCTCCGAAGGGAAGCCTCTGCCGCCTCTCTCGTTGCACCTGTCAGCACTTGTATCCCATGCTCGATACCGCGCGCATCTTCTGGCGGTTCCTTTCACTCCCTGTCCACCAGGATGTCTTCCAGCACTCCTCGGTACCGCGCCCAGTCCAGCAATCTTGTGACGTATCCACGTTCCCCTTCCGCTCGTCTCTCGTCTCTTCTTCTCACTACATCGAGCATGATAGTCCCATGGTCCGAGTTCGTATAAGACCTGAGGCTCCAGTTTGTCACTCGTCTCATCATTGGAGCTGAGGCCAGCATTATGTCGATCCAGCTCTGTCCCCTGGGTCTCACAAACGTTGCCTCACCAGGTTTGTTAACAATTATCAGCTGGCATCTGGCTATGCTGTCCTCAAGCTTCACTCCTCTTCTATCGGTGAGCTCCAGGCCGTGCTAGTGGCTAGACTGATTCTCAGTTCCTTTGCCTTTCTGGCCCTCTACTGGAGTGGAAGTCTTTTGCCTTTTCTTCTTCCTCGCCTTTCTCTTACTTTTCACCACGGTGAAATCGCCGTCCTCCTCCTCTTCAGATTCGGGGCGCATATTCCTCCCGCGGCACATCTCTACTCCTGTGCTTCTGACTGGCATATGTGCGGGAATTCCTCTCCCTTGATGTTCCTGGAGTCGGTTTTTCCCCTTC